ATTATGTATTTATTAGTAAATATAAGTTTAGAACAGAGCTTATAATTTATAGCTGGTGCCACATTTTACACATTATAGTTGCGGATTGGATTCGAATTACGAGCTGCGAATTGTTGATTAGCCAATGAATCTGATTATCGATGCATTCGGAAACACACACCGTGTGCACACTACTAGACCTGTTGTGTTGGAGTGAACGAAATACAAGAATGAGATAAAAAGAGAAGGAAAGTATTCAAGTGACGTTTCCGAATGCAGCTTATCTCAGTTAAAGTAGCTAGTTGATTCGCAATTTGCAATCTGAATCCAGGGCAGCGTTCCGAAATTCACTACCAGTATTGAAATTCTATAGTGTACGTGACATAAATTATAGATTTTCAGTACTTGTAGTGAATTTTGGAACGCATCCGCAATGTATGATATGGGCTTAAATTAACTCCGATTAAAAAATTATTCGAATAATGCAGAAAATTATAAAATACCTTGATAATGGGCAAAAGCCGGAGCAGGATGGGTAGCGGGAGCGGGAACAGGAGCGGCAACGGGAGCGCCAGCGGGAGCGGGAGCTGGAGCGATAGCTGAAGCAGGAGCTGAAGCGGGAGCTGGAGCGATAGCTGAAACAGGAGCTGGAGCGGGAGCTGGAGCGATAGCTGAAGCAGGAACTGGAGCGGGAGCTGGAGCGATAGCTGAAGCATCATTGGGTGCTTCTATTACCATTTCCAATAATTGTTGCTCCATTAAAAGCTATAAAAATAGTATGTATTAATATTAATATATATGATTATGAGACTATATATATAATTAAAATATAATAGAAAATTATCTTACGTCCTCGTCGATTATGTCCATTACGTCGTTTATTCGGTAATGAATAAATGAATACAGTCGAACGTTTTAGTTTTTCAGCATACATATAGTGTTCCGTACGGGATAGCGGGCGGCGGGCGGCCGTGCGCCAGGCGCGTTCCGCGCGCGGGCGACTACCGCTCGCCGCGGCTTCACGCCGCCGCCGCTACGCGGCAGCGCGCCGAGCCGGGGCCGTCGCTCGCAGTTAAATTTCGGTGCGGCGCCTATATAAGACGCCGCGGACTCTAAGTGTTCGGACTGCGTTAGCGCATCTGTTCACTGCCTCGCTGAGGTATTCTTTTGTACTCTAGTTAAATTCATATCGCCTTCTTGCATAAGCACGTTGGGCACTTGCCTCGCTCGAGGTATACGTGTGCATATCTGCACTGAATATCGCTGCCTTCAGAGTGTTACAGACACGCTGGCATTCGGGTTTAGATTTCACAGCCCTTTAGAGTGCCCCGCACATTGGGCTATCGCCTCTAGAGCGTCCGAGGACACGTTAGCGTTTGGGTTACGAAGTGTATGGTAACTCCATGGATCTCCACCTTCTCAATACGATCGAGGATTGAGAGAAGGCTTCGCGCGATCACTCCGGATTGCCTTGACGCTTCCACCGCGGTGGACGTCTCTCTTCGCGACTTTTCCCGTATTGCATATACCGGGTATTAACACCGCCAGAGCTTATTGCGGTCGAGCTCCCGACTCCGCGCGAGTCGTCGTTGTACTCCGGACTCTGCTGTCAGGGACGCAGCATATACACGCGAGCAACGCTCGCCTCTACGTCCGCTTAAGATTTAGCCGCTGCCAGGGACGCAGCATATACATGCGAGCAACGCTCGTCTCTCCGTCCGCTTAGGACTTAGCCGCTGCCAGAGACGCAGCATATACACGCGAGCAACGCTCGCCTCTCCGTCCGCTTAGGACTTAGCCGCTGCCAGAGACGCAGCATATCCACGCACGCTTTTACGTCCACTTCGGACTTAGCCGCTGCCAGAGACGCAGCATATACAAGTGAACCCCGTTCGCTTCTTCACCGCTACGGAAGCCATACTCGCCGCATACGCGACTACACGCGCGAGTTACCCTCGCGCTTAAGTCTACGTCGCCCGCGCAACGTTACGATTCTCGTTACTCCTTCGACAAGGGGAACTTTTCCTAGCGCGGAGGCGCTGGGAAGCGGTGCATCACCGCAGGGCCGCCGCTTCGATTGACCTGTCTCACTTTATTCGAGTCGACGACCCACCAAACTACGGAGCCGAAGCCTCCCGTCTCCGAAGAACTTCGCGAATCACTTGCACCCCACGTCATCTTAAGGGGCCGCTGGATAGCAGACTGCTAGCGACAAAGCTCGCGCTCTCCACGCGGCGAGCGGACACCTATCCGCATCTCGCATAACGAACCGGCCGCTCTCCACCCTCGGGCCGTTCGAAACATATAGTCTGTTCTTTATATAGTTGAAAGATGGGTACCGATTGACCATGGTACGATTATAGCGTTTTTCATTGGCAGAATTGGTGCGCACTAACGCTTGTTCATAGTATGTTATTATATTGAAAGATTTTCTTAAATAAATTTTAAAATATTTTTAATCAGTGATATAATATGTATTATATTTTAATTATATATATACAGTGTGTCCCATAAGTTCA